CATTATTTATCAAGGGGAAATACAAACCAAAATCACAATGTGATACCACTTTATACCCTTAAGATGAAGGCTTTCATTAGCATGACTTTTATTAAAAACAACAACTACATAAAATAACAAGTGATGACAAAGACATGGGGAAGTTGGAACACTTACACATTTCTCGTAAGAATATAAAATGATGCACCCACTGTGGAAAACTACGACAATTCCTAAAATTCTATATGAATTCTATATGATCTAGTGATTCTATTTGAATCTATATGATCTAGTGATTCTGTATGATCTAATGATTCCACTTCTGGTATGTACTGTACTCAAAAGAAGTGAAAGCAGGGACTCAAACATGTTTGTACACTCATAGTCAGCCGCATTATCACAATAGCCAAAGGGAAGACATAACAGGAAGACCCACCTGTGATTAGTGGATAAGCAAAGTATGGTATATACATATAATGAAATATCAGCTTCAAAAAGGGAATGTAGTTCTAACACATCTACAGCATGGGTGAACCTTAAACACATTATGCCAAGTGAAATAAGTGAGATATAAATGGACAAATATTGTGTGATTCCACTTATATGAGCTACCTAAAGTAGGCAGATTCACAGAGATAGAACATAGAAAAGTAGTTGCCAGGGTCTCAGGGAGGAAAGAATCGGGAGTGTTTTCATGTTTACAGTTTCGGTTTTGCACTTTGAAACGTTCTGGAGATGGACGGTGGTGGTGGTTGCACAAAAAATGAGAACGTGCTTAATGCCCTAGGACCTACCTCATGTACACTCACACATGTTTAGAATTACAATTCTGTGGTACCTGTTTTTACCACAATTTTTTTAAATGAGAGAAAAAGTAAGTTCCTCTGTGAACCTCAGGACTTTATTCTGGGCCCTTACAGCACAAGGAAGAAAATTTTAATAACTTTGCTTTTGATACAAAGATTACAGAAAAACCAATACAAAGAATGTTAAAATAAGTTTCTAAGGATGTTAAGATACTGAGCAACAGATAAAAATGAATACTGAAATTAAATAGGAATACTGGTATAATTCTGAATATAGGATAAAAATGAAAAGTATAGAACTAAGAGTAATGACTTTTTATATGAAAAAAATGTTGGGGTTTCCATTTCCTAAAATCCAATGGAATCCCATACCAGAAGGGGGAAAAAGGTACTTCTTACCCATTGGTAAAAATGTGTTCAAATAGAAGGAGGCAGTAATCCACTGTGCTCTGAGATGAATGATCAGACTGGGCACCAAATACTCCCTTTGGTTCTTCTTTGAAAGTTTGTATAAACTGATGAAACTATGAGGATAGTCAGGGAAATCAAAACCAGGTCTCATTGGTCTTCATTGTTGGAGTAGGGGATCTAGCTTGGGGAAAAGATAATTAGGAGGAACGTAGTAACTGTTTTCAGCTATCTGAAAGATTGGCATGTGAAATAAGGACTGCCCTTATTCTGTATCTATTCCTCATGGCAGAACTGGGACCAAATATTTAGGCAAAAAGCCAAAAGGAAGCTGATTCATTATGTGGCAATATTTTCCAAGTATTAGACAGATGACATTCAATAGAGTGGCCTCCTGTTACTGGCTGGCTCAAGGAGAGGTGTTTGCCCCCATCCAGGACACTGGAGAGTAGTAGGTTCATGCTTTCCATCACCATGGACTCTTTTTTCGTTTCCTCATATCAAAATCTTCATATTGTATTTGACTCCTACCCCTTCCCCCCAACATCTAATGAAGTCTTGGAGTTCTTCCACAACTGTCTTGACTTTACCTTTCACTCTCCATCATGTTGCAGGAAACTCAGCTCTTCAACTATAGAATACTGCATGTGCTGTCAGTCAGCTCTTCTATCCAGCCTTTGGGTGGTCCCTTACCTCAATCCATTCTGTACAGACCTGCTAGATTCATTTTATAAAATAACTATCAAGTAATTATTTTGATCAAGACCAAAGAGTAGCTCCCAGCTGCTTCCCATATTAAGATAAAATTCTTTTTGCTCTCTCTCGCTCTCTCTCTCTCTTTCTTTCTCTTTCTTTCTCTCTCTCTCTTTTGTCTTTTGGGGCTGTTCTGCCTTCCCTCCCTTCCTAATTTCCATTCTGCTACCCAAACAATTGATTTTGGTTAAACTGTTCCCTTCAGTGTCATCTGGCTTGATTGTCTTTACCCGCTCATTCCCACTTCCATTCCCTCACTTGTGTTGTAGCCCTGTTTCCTTCGCCCCCAGCTTTTTTTCATAGGGTCTACCCCATACTAAAACTACCGTGAAATCTTTTCTGGCCACCCAAGCTCACACCAACCCTACTTTCTCTCACTCATTTAACAAATATTTACCAGTCTTACAAGAGTAAAGGCATATGGTAAGCAAGAAAAATTGGGCTCTTGACTTCACAAAGTGGGCAAGACAAAATAATTTCTATGAGGAACACAAACAGATACTGTAATACAAAATGACATTGTGTGTGTATGTGTGTTGGTTGGTATTTTGATAGGGTAATCAGAGAAGGCTTCCTTCAAAAGTTGACAAATAAGCCAGGACCTGAGCCAGGGATTTAGCTCAGTGGTGGTGCACCTGCCTTACAAGCGCCAAGGTCCTGAGTTTGATCCCTGGTACCAAAAAAAGGACCTGAAAGATGTGAAGGAGCCAGCTGCTGGGAAGGGCTGGAGTCAAGGTAGCCAGGCTGAGGAACCACAGTGTGTAGGGCTCCCCAGGCAAGAAGAGCTCAGCACATTGGAGATACTGAAGTCGGAAAGGTTTGGCTGGCGCATAGCAGGTGAGGGAAGAAGGGCATGTAGTAAAGCCAGAGAGGAGCCTAGGGCCTGCTGGGCACGTTAAAGACTTTGGATTTCACACTAATTGCATTGGGAAGACATGGAAGGATTTTAAGAAAGAAAGTGATATATATGATTTATCCTCTTTTTTTTAACTGGGGGTTGAACTTCCCCAGCCCTGTTTTAAAAAAAATTTTAGACAGTGTCTCCCTAAATTGCTCAAGCTGTCCTTGAACTCATCATCCTTCTGCCTTAGTCTCCCAAGTGGCTGGGATTACAGTTCATGCCACCATGGCTGGCTATGAATTATACTTTTTAGATTACTTTATTTACAATGTGGAAAATAGGCTGATGGGAGTAAGAGCAGAAGTAGAGGTTGTGAAAACAATGTGATAAAACAGATGAAAGATGGTAACTTGAATTACAGTAATGGAGAAAAGTGGATAGATTTCAGATATGATTTGGAAATAGACATAAAAGGATTTTCTAATCGTTTTATGCAAGCAGTAAAGAATTAAAAGTGATTCCTAGGTGTCTGATGTGAGAATTACATGGGTAAATGGACATACACTTTTTGGTGTGATGGGGAAGTGGGATAACAGAGATTAGATTTAGGGGAAACTCAGCAAGGAGACATATTATACTTGAGAGGTGTCTGTGGACACCCAAAAGGCACTGTTAAGGTACCACTTGACTGTAGGGGTCTAGAACTCACATGAGGAAGCTGAGAGGAAGATAGAAATTCTAGCATTATCAGCATACACATATTATTTAATGACTATGAATGAATGAATTAGAGTAAGGAGAAGGCAAGAACGAGGCCTAGATGTTTGTATGCCGATGGTGAAGATCTAAAGGAAAGAGACAGATAAATAATGCAGATAGTCACGGGTATGGTAACATTCTTATTACGTCCAGTCTGTCTTTATTTCCAGGTTAGTGATTACTTTTATGTGGAATGTGAACATAGAATATGATAATGCTGAGAATAGCATGTAGTCTTGTTCTGCAATCGTTCCTGTTACTGTCTCTTCAATTAGATGTAGGTTCCTTATAAGCAGCTAGTATAATCCACTGTGCCTAGCACAGGGCATGGTATAAGGTCAGTGCTTGGTACTTATTTCTTCAGTGATAGTAATACTTCAGAAGTTCTTGCTAAAATCATGGGTTCTGCCACACAAGGCTAAAGGTTAGATCATTTCTCCTGGGCTATGTGATCTGGTTCATCCTTTGAATGGATGTGATCCTTGTGTTTCTTCATTGTGTTATCACTTTTAAATAATGGTAAAGGCCCTGCAGGCACCCAGTACAGTCGGAATTAAGAGAACAAACTAATCTTTATTGCAGTGGGTTGAATGGCATTTAATTAATATATTTATATATTTTGGCATATTAAAGGTACATACATACTTATAAAAATAAATTTGTGTATTTATAAAACTTTTTAATAGCTCAACCACTGACAGCTATTTAAGTGAACTTTACCAAAGCCTAGGAGACCTTTTGTATTTAGAGAACAAAAGAAATCCCAGTAATCCACAATTGCCTTTAACTACATACATTCTGACAGAACACCGTGGTAATGACTCAGTCTGTAGCAAGGTGCTGAGCCCAGCCCAACTGCATTTGGCACCGAGAACTGAGCGGCTAGAAACCAATACTCCAGAGCCCTTGAAGCACAGCCGAGAGCAAGCTGACTCGTGGGGATGGGCAGGAGTCTCCAAGGAAAGGTCTCGCCAAGTAGCAGTGGAGTCACCATGTATATGGGAAGTGGGGAAAATGAAAGCTCCGGGACGCTTGGGTAAAGATGGGAAACCAACACAGGCTCCTGGGAGACTTCTACGTAAAGAACTTTGGCCGTAGCAAATAAATAAATTTATCTTTAAAATCCTGAAAACCAAAATTCACCCATATACAAATTAACTGGACATTGGTTACCACTGAGATTCATAAGCCGCTTCTGCCCTCCAACCCTAGCTCTGGCCGCTGGAGAAAGAAAGAGGGTAGCTAGCATAGAACTGTGGGCAGGGGGCTGCTTCCCAAGCTGTTTTGTTTTTGTTTTTTTGACTCTGACCTTTCCTTTTGCAAGGTATGAGAATCAAATCTTCCAGAGCCACACACAAATACATCAAATTAGCTGTTTCACCTTTGCCGACCTAATGCCCCACCCCACCCTCAAGGAAAGATTTGTACTGTACTTTCCTTTCACTGAGGCTGGGTTTCTTTCGCCTATTTTTTTAAATTTTTAAAATATTTTTTATTCACCCTATTATTTGAAACCCTAAGATCCCTCATAATTGCTTGGGGGCGCTGAAGTAGTATTACAAGGGAAGCTGAATTCTTTCTGGTTGGTAAGATAGCTGAATTTCTTCGTGCTCTAAGTATATTTCTGAGCCTTCTTTGACGTCTTCCTGTGGTCACACTTGCACTTATCTTCTTCCTCCAGAATTTGGAGTGCCAAGTGCCAAAAATGGACAGGTGAAGTGTGGTCACCTATAGGGTAGAAGGCAGATTTGTGTCTGTTTAACAGTAACCCAGATAAGAAGCCATGTTAAACAGAGAGCCAGTTTTTATTCCATCTTCATAGCGTACCTTCAGCATTATTTTATTGTTTAACTCCCTCTAATATGAAATGTTTGGCCACTGACTGGTTTTTGTGCTTTATAAACCATTTGCTTGAAATATGTTATTAAAATTTTACTACTGAATTAAGAGTTCATAACTTTTCTTAAATATGAGAGTTTGTGACTTGGAAAAGAATTACAGATCTGGGCTAGAGAAAAGAAAGTACAGTAAGGTTCAGATGTCCAAACAGCGTGAGAAATATAACACAATTTGATGTTTTTTAAAGCAAACGAGCTGAGTCTAAGAATGAGCACATTTTTACAAATGATCAGGTGGTTCCTGTTTCCCACCTCCAGCCTGTCCTTCACATTCCAGCTTAATAATTTTTCTGAAGAACCAATCTGGTCACCGGATTGCCTTATTTGAAACTTTATTGATTGATTGATTTTTGGTGGTGCTGGGGATCAAACTGAGTGTCTCACACATGCTGAGCATGAGCTCCACCACTGAGCACCAGGCCTTGCCTAAAACTCAAAGTCCAACTCCTTCGTGGGCCATTCCAGGTTCTCCATGACTCCAGGTTCTTCCCCCTTCCTCTAAGCTCATTTATTTTTTATCTCTGCCTCCCTTAAAGAACCTATCCTGTTCTACAGGCCCTTGCTGTCCCCACTTCCTCTTATTAATTTTTTCCGGGAAATCTCCCTCCTTCAAGAATCAGTTCAAAGATCACCTTTCCTTTGAAACTTCCTCTCTGGCCTGTTGCACCCTCTTCACACTCACTGCCTGAAACATCGTAATGAAATGGCCCACTTACACACCCGTTTCTTCATTCCAGGTAGCTTCAGATGCCCATTTCTTCATTCCAGCCTCAGCACCATTCCTGCCATACAGGAGGTCCCCTCTCTGCTGAGCAAATGATGCCTTGGGGTAAGGAAAAGGGAAATGACTAAGTGTACACAGTTTAAGGGGACACAGCAACCACCCTGCCCAGGGTTCTCTAGCTGCTGGTTAAGGAGAAAGAAAGAAAAAATATAAAGGATTGAGCATCACTGTGGAGCTGCTGTGATTTCTCTTGTTCACAAAAGTCAAGAAGAACTCGAGTCATTTGTGAGGACCAGTGAAAAAATGGAAATATTTTAAATATCCCATATTTGAAACTCCAGGACTTCAGACAGTGAGAGCAAACCACTAAACCAAGCTGGGTCCTGTCTAGCTGCACAGGCAGTGCATCCACGAAGCCAGCCCTGATGAAACCACTGAAGTGCATTACAACATCAAGATAAGAAAGAGAGGAGGGAGGTTTGGAGAAATGTTAGATCAACTTTTTAAAAAGAGTAGCTTTAAGGGCTGGGGATTTAGCTCAGTGGTTTCACCGCCTGCCTCGAAAGCGCAAGGACCCGAGTTCGATCCCCGGTACCAAACAAAAAACCAAAAACAAGTAGATTTAAAATAGTAACATTGTTTTAAAATTTATTTAAGGTTAGGGTTACTTCAGTGGTGGAGCGCTTGCCTAGCGTGCACAAGGCCTGGGTTCGATCCTCAGTACCACAAACATAACAATCTAAAAATGTATTTCTTCATGCTACCCCTTACATAAGACTGCTACAGTTATTGTTTTTCATTTATAAATGCACAAGTAAATTTTCACCTTGTTTTAAGGAAAATGCCACATTGTTAGTTCTTGAGAAGTGATGCTGTAACCTACACCCTACTTGGTACACCTGGAGTAAAGTAGCATGCAAAGCCCAAACTCTGGGAGGGGGAAGACTGGCTGAGTCCTCACCGGACTACATGAATCTGAAGCGTCATTATCACTCTTTCACTGATGGTTGAAAACCTTGTCAGTAGTTCTCCATGGAATTGGATGTAGCCTCTCAAAATATGATTTTATTTCATAACCCCCACAAATTCTATTTAAACCCCAAATAAACTTGGCGTACCAGAAATTATAATGAAATGTTAGCATATACTGATAAAGTAAATGAAGGAAGATTTATGAGTCTTTTAAAAACATCAACCAGAAAGGGGGAAGTTGATCTGCACAGCTGCTAGATCTCCAGCAGGGGGCTACGGGAGATGAGCACCCCAGCCACCCTCAAGGGGCCACTCACCTCTTTGCCAGGCGAGTGGGATCCTTTGCTGCCTTGACTCCCCGCCTGGGAGAACAGCAGTGGGACCATGTGCCCTTAGTGACTGCGACACTATCATGTGAAGCCAGACCAGTGGACAAATGCCGGTTTCCACCTAACCTTGAGGCTTTCCCGTCACGCTACCCATAGTTGGCCGTTACGTAGTTCTGTCAGTGCAGTCAAGGCCAGAAGCCTAGGAAGATAGCTAGATTTGTGAGGGGAAATCATTTTACTATCCTAATTTCTCTACAATGTAACAATTGTACAACTCAACAGAACAGATCTCATTAAGAACACTTAAACTTGGGCCGGGGATTTAGCTTATGGTTTCGTTGCCTGCTGCGCAAGCGCAAGGACCTGAGCTCGATCCCCAGTACCAAACCCCCCCCCCCCCAAACACTTAAACTTGGGAGCTCAGAGATCCTTACCACCTGCTTCATAGAGCCCCTCAGAAATCAGCAAGGTAACACGCATAGAGGTGACTTTATAGTAGTACTCAAATGTTCATCTCTACTTCTGCTACCTGGCTCTTGTATTACTGAGAAGACGGGACAGCTGCTGGTGGTGGGAAGAGAAAAACGGCTCTCAAAAGCACTTGTCGGAGACAGAGCAACATTCACAGACTGTGAAACACCAGTAAAGCCCAATTTATACAAGTTTGTCTGCAGATGATTCTCTCACCTAAGAGCAAACATGCACACAGACACCCACTCAGTGAGCTAAAAACACTGACAACAGCTCAAAGAAACACACACACTGGAACCAAATTACCTGCACAGAGACCTAAGAGCGAGTCGCTCAGATTCGTGCCTTGCAGGACACACGGAGATGTGCTGAAGGTGTTTGTGGTGGGAAGTGAACGGTGCACACTCAGTGGCACTGGCAGAGGTGAGAGGCGAGAGGGACACAGAATGGACCATGGAAACCCACTGACTGGGAATCCCGGACTTGTGGGTGTAGTAGTATTTTACCTTAGCAAGATGCAGGTATTATCACAAAGTTTGTTTAAATGGCTACAGATATACCTTTGGACTTTGAAATTACTTCATACCTTGAATTTGGCTCTCACAGAAATTCCTAATACAGACCACTAACTGCCCTAGAGGTAAAGGTCAGCCATGCTAAAGGCTCTTCTGCTCATAACCAGGGTTTCACGATGGAGAAAGGGACAGTGGGATACACCTGCATGAGTTCTCCTCACAGCAAGGAACAGGCTTTATCCGAGAAGGCCTTCCAGACACCTCCTGTCATCCCACCCATCAACCCAATGCAAAGATTCTGTTTCTGGATCACACAGCACCAATGTGCCCAAAACTAAGCAAACAGGAATCCAAATGAATAAAAAAGGCAGTTCAATTTCTTAAGAAACAATATATTTTATTTTTCTGACACCACAGCTCTGGCGAGTGGTTTTGTACCAAATTTAATGGAGGTTACACAGAACGTTTTACGCATGGGAGGAGGAGGAAAGGGAAGGAACCACCAAATTTAAAACAAAAACAAAATCCTGGATAGCTTTTAGCATCTGTTCCACTCCCACATTAATAAAATTCACTTGGTAATTTCTAATAAAAGGAGAACAGAAAACAAGGTGGGCAGGAAAGAGTACACTGAGGAAGAGAAAGGCTAAGGGGGACAAACCAGAGGGCATCCCCGGGACAGAGCCTTTCCTGCCAGGTCAGGACGCTCAGCATGGAAGGTGGGGCTTCACTTGAGTTATTTTCCCCAAAGAACACCAGGTATTGCAGCTGCCAAAGGGTAGTGGAGAGGAAGGAAGCAGAGGGTTGCCAGTGGGGGACACAAGGGACTGAAACACTTAACCAAGGAGATAGGGAGGGGAGGGGGAAATGAAAACGTGGTGGGTTTGTATACTGGGAGAGACAGTGCTGAAGAGCACTTGAAATGAAAAACAAATGTTCTAAGCTTCATTATTTTTAAAAAGAAAAATTCCCCCTTCCCCCCACCCCTCACTGAACTTAGTTCCTTTTTTTGTGCTTTTCATTAATACTCTGCTCTGAGGTCGTAGTTTGGTTTTTCTATACATTGGAGTTGAAAGAAAATAGTCCAAAGGTCTGAAGATGGATTCTCCACCTAAAGTAAACAGCCCAGCATTCCTGTTCTCCTCTTGCCCCAAAGACTAAAGTCTCTGCTAAAGTCCCTTTTACAATATAGTACAGTACACACAAAAAAAAAGCCCAAATAAGAAAACAAAAACAGAAAAGAATCCTGGGAGAAGCCAGTCGAAAGGACGTAAACATACAGAGAACGGTGCAACACATGACCGATGGCAATTCTCAAAGCACGGCTACAGATTTCCAAAAGTAGGTGCCATCGTGGGATACCCAAGTCCACAAAAATAATTTTTAAAAAATAAATCTTAAAAAAAACACACCTGTTGATTAAATGGGTAATTTGTTTTCAGGTAAATCCATACATTCTCAAGTCCCCCTCCCCCAAAGCAGCCCCCGGGTCTCTATTCTGCTGTTGCATGACCAACAGTAAGTACGCCTGGAACTCCCTTCAAAGAAGCTCTCAGGACCTGGAATCTCATCTTGACAAGATCAGCGTGTCCAATCTTAGCAGCTTAAAACATCATGTTTCCTGGGTTGCCAGGTCCTTGGCTAAATCCACCCATGCCCACATCAGCAGCCATGCCCCGGGGCCTCATCTGTGGGGGGATCATGATGTTCTGTTGGGGTCCCATCATGCCCTGCATGGACATCATCATGCCTGGAGAGCCCACAGGCCCAGGGTGAGTGTAGAGTCCCGCAGGCCCCCGATCTTTGCCAGGAATCATGCTCACGGCAGCAGCTGGATTGCTCATCAGGGTGGGCTGGCCGGGCATTGTAGATTGTGCTGGTGACATCATCCGATGGTGAGGTCCCATCATGCCTTGCTGGAGAAAGGCTGGTGGTCTCATTGGGTTGTGGCCTGGCATGGATGGAGCTGTACCAAGAGGGATGTCTGGAGTTCCTACTGGCCCTGGACCTCCAATGCCAGGTAAAGCTAGTCCCATTCTGGGGGCTTGATCGCTCATCATCCCCTGCATGTGCGAAAACCCAGGTCCGGGACCCTGGGGCTGTTTACGGCCTGGAACTTCTCCTCGAGGGAAATATTGCAGTGTCTGGCTAGGCTTCTCAGATGGAATAATGCGGGACAGATCAAACTCAGGTATTCCGGTGGCTCCAGGTCGGATGACCTCTTGTAGATCTGGGTCTGTAAACACCGAAGGCATGCTGTTCCCCAGGACAGTGAAGGAGTCAGGACCCCCTGGGCCTCCAGGCTTGCAAAGTGCTGCATCTGCTGAACTTTGGGGCAGGTTGCTGGGGCGGCCAAGGGGGCCTTCTCCCGGGAAGCCCATCCCTCCTGGGAAGTTGCCTTGTCCCCCACTGGGACCATTGTGAGGGAATGGAACCTGCTGCGGAGGAGACTGTACTGGTGGGAAGCCCTGGGGAAAACCCATCCGTCCTTGAGGTACCATCGGAGGCTCCTGGGACCCATGGCCCATGATAGGATTGTGTGACATCAAGCCAGGTCCCATAGGGACCCCGTGAGGTGGTATGTTGGGTCCCATGGCATTTGGAGAGGGCATCTGATTGGAGTGAGAAAGTGGCTGGGTCATTCCCATTGGGCTGAGGGTTGGCATCGGAACCACGGGATTTGGACCTGAAATTCGAGGATTCTGTGTATTAATGCCCATTCCTAGAAAAATAAAGATATCAAAGGAATCAACTCAACCAAAAGCAACTCAGAAAAAACTGTAATAAAGCAATTTAACAAAAAATTATTGAGCATCTAATGTGCATGGTTATACACTGGGAAAACACACAATACATAATCCCTATCATCAGTAAGATTGTAACACATTCGGAGGCACACAAACCTGACACCTCTACAAGAGAACAGATTGAATCTTAAAACTATGATATGACTAGAGGAGAGAGCAAGGTAGAAATTCTATGTGAAAAGTTTTAAGTTAATATGCAAATGATACTCAAGACAGAAGAAAACAATCTGCCTGAATGATGTAAGTATGGCCCTTTTTGGAGAAAAGCCAATTACAAGGCCAATTACAAAAAGAAAGACAAATCAGATAGGTCTTTTTCCCCCACAGGCATTATTTTATACTGCCTTATAAACAAAGCATTTAAAACTCTAGGTTACACGAACTGCTAAAGAAATTATATCTTTCAATGAAAAAAATAGTACACAGGTTCTATGATAGTCTCTGGAACATCTAAATATTTGGTCACCAACTATGGGAGGAATGGTGTTTGTGCCATTCAGGGAGCATGTCCTAACCTGGTTGATTTGGGCCACTGATGAATAAACAGCATTCCTCACCACCAGAATAGAATTGGAACCAGAAACCCATGGCTGAAAGTCATGGTCCCTTTGTGGATCAGCTTCACCACTCCAGATCATTTCCTGTTAGTGGAGCTGGTGAGGGTGGGGCTGGGTATGGGAATGCAAGCATAACAAGCAGGAAAAGGAAAAATTCTGTTATCTCCCTAGCCCTAAACAAAGTGCTCCTCTAGGAAATAGGGACTTCCCATTGTCTGAAATCCTGTGGCCGCTTGTGGTTTGAGGTCCTCTTTCCAGGAAAATACTTGAGAACTAAAGAGATTCCAATCAGTATGTTAAAAAGAAACTGGCCTTTAGTATTGCTGCCAGAGGACCACAAAGAAAAACAAAACAAAAAAAGAAAAACAAAAACAACAATTATCCAAATAGAAGCAATAGAATTATAAGGAAACCTGCTTTCTCACAAAAAACACAGAATCAAGCTAATGAAGTATTATCTTCCTCTAGTCAGACACTTTAATTCTACCTGAAACTAATTTAGAGCGTTACATTTTTTCAGCTTGTTCAACTTCTACCTATTTATAGCCAGTGAGAAAATACTTCATGCAGTTTCTCTTTTGTCCAGCACCAGCTCCACAGCCCATCTTTCTTATTTCTTACCCGGCATGTTATTCATTGATGGCAAGTTGGGAGAGCGAGCTGGAGGGGAGTCGTCATCAGAGCTGGCCACAGTCTTGATGGCATCGTGGTATAATGGGGTAGAACTGGGCATTGCAAACTTGGACATTCGAGACATCATAATCGAGAGTGGGTTCTGGGAAAGGGTTGGCTCTGGAGGCATGGTGTAAGGTGTACTAGAGGGAAGACTTCCAGGGATATTCACAGAGGCAGGCTGGCTGGCTGTAGGAGGTGGAGGACCACCTAATAGAACAAAGCATCACAAAACAAAAATGGGCAGAAAATTAGATTCCTTTTGAAGGCTATGAGGCCCTATGATTATGAACTAGCAAGCCCGGAATGAGACAGATGAGCAGGACAGTGTTATTAGACCCAGGACACGAATCATCAATCTTCCAGTCAAGCTCTCTGTGTGTGCAGAGAGAGATGGCAGCATGATATAGAGGTGACGGATCAGCAGATGTGAAGACAAACACACCAGGAATACATTAGAAACATTAGTTCAAGCTTGAGGAAAGCATGGTTTACAGACCATTTCACTGAAAAGAAAGTGAAGTAAGTGGATCTCTTTCCCTTGCCAATCACAATTTAGAATTTGGCTCAGGTATTAGAATGCCCTGAGCCAGACTAGTGTTCCAACCCCAGGCACTAACCACACTGCCTCACATACACTCCCGATTAATTTCCCCAACCAAGATGTTTGCGCTAAAAGGGTCTGAGGGGGGCTGGCTATTCCACTCTAGTGCTTCGGTGAATTGCCACCCCACAGAGAGACAGACACTTTAGCTTGGTAGGATAAATCTCCCATCTTATTCTGATTCTAGTCTTTCTCAAATGGAGACAAACCAACCCAGTATTTACACCCCAGTGCCACTTCCACTGACCACCTCTGGTCCCATTCACAAAACCACCATCATCAGCGAGAGCCTCTCCTAGGAAGAAAATACCAGTAAATTGTAGCTGATCTGTGAAAACAGCAGCCTGTCAAGGACATCCTGGTAACTGTGTCTGGTCAACACTTAGAAGACCCATGCAATTCTTTCAAAGCAGGCTCCCCTCTTTGTCTAGGGTTATACTCAGAAGTTCCTGACCCGAGGGTAGCCTTCATGGGTGGGCCTGGTATTTTAGGAAGCTACCTTTCTCCAGTACACAGACATT